GATGTGGTTTGTTATGTATTGGACACTGGCGATTTGTGTCCTCATTTCTCTTGTTTTGATCAGTCTTTTCAAGAACTGTAGCAGGTGCAGGTAGAACATTAGTCCTTTTCACTAACGCTGGACCTCTACGGTCTCTGTGCGACATACGTGTGTTTGTAGGTCTTGGAGAGAGTGTACTGAGAAGGTTAAAATCCCCATATGAGAAACTTGGGTCATTCTTAGTGTCTGCAATTATTTTGATGAACTTGCAGAAGTAGGAAAAAGGAGTAAAGGCAACTCTATGTTCTTCCTTATACTTTGATCCAAGTGCTGCCCATCGTTCATAAATTCCATATGGTAGCTTGAAAACAAAAGATTTGATGCCATGAGAGGTGTCAAGGTAACTGAGGCCAGGTAAGTTGATGTCAGCTTTAGCAAGTTGAAACTCTAATAGAACATCGCTGAGTTCTTGAAACTTTAGATTGTCGCTAGCAGAAATCCTTAAGAAGCTTTGCAACCTTTTGAATAAAGCATCTTCAATGGCCTCTGGGCTGCCAAAGGTATGTTCAAGTCTGCCCCAAGCAGCATTAAGGCCTGCAGCAGGGTTGTCAATAAGAACTGCTTTGAGTCTCTTGATACGTTCAGTAGACTGGGGACCTAGCCATCTGATGAGTAGATCTAATTCCTCTGTGGCATTGATGTCTAGGTCACTCATTGTGGCCTTAAAAGTGGATTTCCAGCCTCTGTAATTTTCAGGATTGTCATCAAACTTGGTGAGGCCTGTCTTAACAAACTCTCTGCGGAGCGTGTATTTAGCAAACTGTGACATGTCCATGTTTTCATATTTTGGGTGCATGACTGCAGGTGGAGCAGAGTTGGTTGTGACAGTTGGTGGACTTACGTGGAGTGATTTGGGAACATATGTTGCTGCTAAGACATTCAATGCCGGAGCTGGCTTAAAGTCCATTGGCATGTTGGTTTGTAGAGTAGTGCGTTTGCTAGGAGTTACTCTGTTGGTGCCAAAGTAATGTGGACGGTCTGTTAAATACATACCAGTGTCTGCGGCTAGCTGAGATGCTGCAGTCTGATGTATTGGAGGATATAAGGGCAAATGGTCTTGAGGTACAGTAGGTGCAGAGAAGAGACTTTGATCGAGTACTTTGGCTGTTGTGACAAGGAGTTGACGTTCTGGAGAGGTGTGTGAAGAATCTGAGACATAAGATACAACTGAGTGTCTGGAACTGTTGTCTCTTTCGTTTTCACTAGTGGCTTGTTTTAAGACCCTTAACCTTGCCATGGCTGTGGCAAGCTCACATTGTTTTTCCAAAACTTTAATTTCTGCCTTTTGGCATGTGGCTTCAGCTTCTTTCTATGCTTTCTCATGTGCGGTTTGAGCCTCCATTTCTGCTTTCTTATATGCGGCTTGAGCCTCTATTTCTGTAGCCTGAGCCTCTCTTTCTGCTTTCTGATGTGCGGCCTGAGCCTCCATTTCTGCATTCTTATATACGGCCTGAGCCTCTATTTCTGCTTTCTTTTGGGCGAAAGTTGCCTGAATTTTAGAAGCTTCAGCATCAGCACGGGCTTTTATTAGTTGTTGACTGAGTGTAGAAGAGCTTGATTGTATGAATTTGGAAGATCTTGAGGAGCATCTAGTAGATGCAGAGTGATAAGATCTGGATTCATGGAGCTGTGTTATTCTCACTTCTGCCTTTGTCTTTGTTCGCACCACTAAATTGTCTCTTTCAAGATTGAGCTCCTCAAAACTCCTTAATTCTTCCAATGACCTTTAAGTGTTGTACCGCTTTAACAAGGCAATATATTTAACACACAGTTTTTGATAATTCTCATAAGCAATATTCAATTGCTGGATAGCGCCCTCTAGTTGTATCGGCTCATGAGATTGTTGGGAGAGAGCAGACATGCATTTAACAGTATTAGACCATAAGTCATTTATATTAGACAGCAATTCTTCCTTGTCAGCATCAAGATTTAAGCATTTTTCTCTTTTATCTAAGTCCTGCTCTGGATGAAGCTCTGATTGTGGTTGTGTATTAGTTTCCCCAGACTGTATATTACTTTCCTGAAACATCATGTTAGCAAGGAGAGGAGTTGATAGAGAGTTTACAGAGAAATGTACCACTTTTTCTGTGGCTGAATTCAGGTTTAAATGCAATAATTGCAGAAAGATTTTCTTTTTCTTTCTTATAAGTTCACAGGCAATCCATGTGGTAATGTATACAGATGCAGTGTATAAACTTGCAGTTGTAAAACATACACATCAATAATTTGTCCTGACAGTGATGAGTGTTATGCTGTGATACAGTGGGGCAAAAAAGTATTTAGTCAGCCACCAATTGTGCAAGTTCTCCCACTTAAAAAGATGAGAGAGGCCTGTAATTGGCATCATAGGTAGACCTCAACTATGAGAGACAAAATGAGAAAACAAATCCAGACAATCACATTGGCTGATTTGTAAAGAATTTATTTGCAAATTATGGTGGAAAATAAGTATTTGGTCAATATCAAAAGTTCACCTCAATACTTTGTTATATATATCCTTTGTTGGCAATGACAGAGGTCAAACGTTTCCTGTAAGTCTTCACAAGGTTGGCACACACTGTTGCTGGTATGTTGGCCCATTCCTCCATGCAGATCTCCTCTAGAGCAGTGATGTTTTGGGGCTGTCGCTGGGCAACACAGACTTTCAACTCCCTCCAAAGGATTTCTATGGGGGTTGAGATCTGGAGACTGGCTAGGCCACTCCAGGACCTTGAAATGCTTCTTACGAAGCCACTCCTTCGTTGCCCGGGCAGTATGTTTGGGATCATTGTCATGTTGGAAGACCCAGCCACGTTTCATCTTCAATGCCCTTGCTGATGGAAGGAGGTTTGCGCTCAAAATCTCAAGATACATGGCCCCATTCATTCTGTCCTGTACATGGATCAGTCGTCCTGGTCCCTTTGTGGAGAAACAGCCCCAAAGCATGATGTTGCCACCCCCATGCTTCACAGTAGGTATGGTGTTCTTTGGATGCAACTCAGCATTCTCTCTCCTCCAAACACGACGAGTTGTGTTTCTACCAAACAGTTCTATTTTGGTTTCATCTGACCATATGACATTCTCCCATTCCTCTTCTGGATCATCCAAATGCTCTCTAGCAAACTTCAGACGGGCCCGGACATGTACTGACTTAAGCAGGGGGACACGTCTGGCACTGCAGGATCTGAGTCCCTGGCGGCATAGTGTGTTACTGATGGTAGCCTTTGTTGCGTTGGTCCCAGCTCTCTGCAGGTCATTCACTAGGTCCCCCCGTGTGGTCCTGGGATTTTTGCTCACCGTTCTTGTGATCATTTTGACCCCACGGGGTGAGATCTTGCGTGGAGCCCCAGATCGAGGGAGATTATCAGTGGTCTTGTATGTCTTCCATTTTCTAATTATTGCTCCCACAGTTGATTTGTTCACACCAAGCTGCTTGCCTATTGCATATTCAGTCTTCCCAGCCTGGTGCAGGTCTACAATTTTGTTTCTGGTGTCCTTCGACAGCTCTTTGGTCTTCACCATAGTGGAGTTTGGAGTGTGACTGTTTGAGGTTGTGGACAGGTGTCTTTTATACTGATAACAAGTTCAAACAGGTGCCATTGATACAGGTAATGTGTGCAGGACAGAGGAGCCTCTTAAAGAGGAAGGTACAGGTCTGTGAGAGCCATAAATCTTGCTTGTTTGTAGGTGACCAAATACTTATTTTCCACCATAATTTGCAAATAAATTCTTTCCAAATCAGCCAATGTGATTGTCTGGACGTTTTTTTCTCATTTTGTCTCTCATAGTTGAGGTCTACCTATGATGCCAATTACAGGCCTCTCTCATCTTTTTAAGTGGGAGAACTTGCACAATTGGTGGCTGACTAAATACTTTTTTGCCCCACTGTATACTTGGAGGCATGTACAGGCTTGTGTAGAGGTGGCTGCCCTCTCTATAGCTGTTATTTCCAGTATCCATGTAACATTTCACTGTGTATTCTAGCTAGCAAGGATTCTTATAAAGACAGTTCACTGGTCCTTTGACTAGCCATGATCTTATGAAGCATTCCACTGATCTTTTGACTGTTCTGTCTCTCCAATCTAAGCATTGATAGTGTGATCTCTGTAACTTACAGTTGTGATGAGATAGCGATAACTTCAACCTCAGTTGGATACCACAGTCAGTGACTCAATCGATACGACATCTTGTAGATCTTGAAGTTTATTCCATAAACTGAGAATCTTACAACAATGAACATTTGATAGGACAAAAGATCATACTGTTTCCTGCTCCATGCCATGAGGCTTGCTGCAATGCCTTACTGGGAAAAGGGTGGGATATCTATACAGCATTAACTAAACCAAAGGAAAGGGAGGAACAGAAACAAAATATAAAAAACTCTTAAAGTCATATGACAGTCATGTGCAAACATGACAGCACGGGAAGCGTCGATTAGTGGATCCATAGTGTAATTGAAATCTCCTCCCATGAAGAGAATGCCTTCAGCAAAGTCCTACAATTTCAAGAGAGTTTGCTCAAGAAACATGATCTGGTGCGAGTTGGGAAGATATACGTTCACCAAAGTGAACATCTGGATACCAAGCTGACCCTTTACAAATAAGGCCCGCCCCTCTGCATCACACCACTGGTCCCTAAAGTCCCACGGAACACTCCTATTAAACAATATACCGTATTTTCCGGCATATAAGACAACTTTTTTTTTTACGTAAAAACATACCCCAACAATTGGGGGTCGTCTTATACGCCGGGTATAGAACGCTGGATGTGCGATAATACTGTATGGTAGCTTCAGCTACATACAGTGTACCGCGCTGAGCCAATCACGGCGAGCGATGTATTCTATTAATGAATACAGAGTCTGCTCGGATTGGCTGAAGTTGTGACATCATCAGCCCGCCTCTCTGACGCAGCCAATCCGAACAGGCTCTGTATTCATTAATAGAATACATCACTTGCCGTGATTGGCTCATATGACGTCCTCCCATTCTCCGCGCATGTCCCTCGGACACAGCTATCACGGAAAGAGCCGAAGAGGTCGGCTCGGTTATGCGATCAGCTGTGTCCAATCACAGCTGATCACATGTAAACAGGGAAATGCCGGTTATCGGCATTTCTCTCCTTTCAAGCTGTCACGCTGACAGGAGAGGAGAGCCGGTAATCGGCTTTCCGCGGAGGGGACATGTACACTGATCATCAGGGCACTTATGATCAGTGTGCCATGATGATCAGTGTAGCCCCAGCAGTGCCAGCTGTCAGTGTTCATCAGTGCTATATCAGTGCCCATCTGAGAAGCCTTTCAGTGTCACCCATCAGTGCCAGTCAGTGCCACCTATCAGTGCTGCCAATCAGTGCCACCTATTAGTGCCAGTCAGTGCCGCCTATCAGTGCCATGTATCAGTGCTGCCTTTCAGTGCCCATCAGTGATGCCTGTCAATGCCCATCAGTGCTGCCAATCAGTGCCACCTATCAGTGCCAGTCAGTGCCGTCTATCAGTGCACATCAGTGCCGCCTATCAGTGCCAGTCAGTGCCACCTATCAGGGCGCATCAGTGCCACCTAACAGTGCCAGTCAGTGCCACCTATCAGTGCCATGTATCAGTGCTGCCTTTCAGTGCCCATCAGTGATGCCTGTCAATGCCCATCAGTGCCACCTACCAGTGCCTCCTCATTAGTGCCCATCAGTGCCACCTATTTCATATGGGTACAGTGTTGCATGACCATGCAATTGACATTCAAAGTGTGACAGTGCTAAAAGCTGAAAATTGGCCTGGGGAGGAAGTGGGTATAAGTGCCCTGTAGGCTAGGGGTTAAATGGTGTTGCCTCAGAAGGGGGGTAGTCTTATACGACGAGTATAGCCCAAAACCTATGTTTTAACTGGAAAATTAGGGGGTCGTCTTATACACCCAGTCGCCTTACACGCCGGAAAATACGGTCTTTATGCCCTTAGACTTAGAGTCCGGAGAGCACCCATGATATACAGTTGGAAAGAGGCAATCACCCAGCTTAGGTATTTTATCTGCACGAAAGTGTGTTTCCTGAAGAAAACAAATATGCGCTTTTAGGTGGTGTAAATTAGAGAGCACCATTGAACGCTTCTCCGGCGTGTTCAGTCCCTTAACGTTCATGGATACCAGATGGGTAAGATCCTGGCACCCGCCTGCACAGAAGAAGACCTAGGAGGCATAATTGGTGAAGAATAGAGATAGGGAAGAAGAAGGGGAAAGGAAGAGGGAAGAGAAGAAATAAAAAGGGGGGGAGAAAGAGAGAAGGGGGGAAGAAGAGGAGAGGGGGGAAAACAATTAATAGAAGAGAAAAAGGGGGAAACAAGAGAAGAAATATCAAGAGAGAACTACGAACACAGGAAAAGAAGGCTCGAGTAGAGGAAAACAGAAAAGGGCAAAGGATTAGGAGCCGAAGAGGAACTCCCAAGAGTGAGACTAATATCGCCGGAGTGAAAGAAATAATTTCAAGCACCCTCAAAACACGTAATGTGGGTCTAGCCTGCAGGGTGCAGCCCTATGTGATAGAGAAGCTGAAATCAGCAGGCAACAGAGACTCCTCCTCCCCAACCCGCCCTGCAAAACAACCACCTGCACAAACATATTGAAAGTAGACAAATGCCCTGAGTTCACCAATCCCGTTAGCATAACATCCCCGAATAACAAAAGAAATCGGATCAAACTTAGCCAACTCCCTCCCGTAGTAACATAGAGACCCATATTCAATATGGCGGGGCCCTCATAACCAAGTACCAATTGCAGATAATCAAAACAGGACCACCCCAGGATCCAAAACCGATCTGGTATCCCCTAATATTGACAAAGATCAAGGAGTACCCCCTCCAACCCCCATAAAAAAGAAAAAAAGCCCCAAGGGAGAAAAAGAACAGAAAAAGGTAGAAAAAGAAAAGGGAAGGGAAAAAAAAGGGAGAGGAGAGGGAAAGGAGGAAGGCTGAAAAGGACAAGTTCAAGAGAAGAGGAAAAAGAAAAGAAAAAAAAACAAAGAAAAAAAAAAGCCGGGGGGGGTCAGAAGGGATAGGCCCACAATAACATCAGATATACCACAGCTCCCCAAGATCCAGGTCCAGCATACTATCAGCCACCCCACTGCAGGGACCCCCTATCAAAACCTTAGCATCGGCATAAGCCAACAGTGATCTGTATGTGCCCATCCCTGTGTCCAGCCCAGGAGGGCGCTAAACCCAAAATCAGAGACAGACACAGCAGCCGGGAGGCGGAGAGGTGGATCCAATTGAAGGGTACATTAACAGAAATCCCTTTAGAGAACAGGAAATCAAGAGCAGAACAACTCTATGCAACCCCAGGCTTCCTATCTCAGCAGGTCCCGTTGCCCCATGCCAGCCACGTGGCCTGGCATGGGAACACTGGAAGCCGAGAGAGGTGTACAAATGTAAAAGTCAGCACAAATATCTATCCCCCTTCTCCCATTCCTGGTTGGGAAAGTCTCAAATCCAAGCTGGCGGACTTCCAACATGACCCAGCAGGCCGCTGTGGCTCAAAACTCACAACTCGGCACATCAGTATTAGGCCTTTGGAGCATCCATCGGAGCAGGCATGCTCTTTTTCCTATGGGAGCATGGTGTCTGACGTGGCAGACACAGTCCGGCAACTACGGGGAGGAAGCGTGCATCTCTACCCAAGAAGGGTCGTAGCCAGTCCGGCAGAGATATGCCCAAAAAGATGAAGAGAGCTGGTAAGTCTGTCTGTCGTCTCAAAAAGATCCCCCCTTCCAGATGGTGAGCTCTGTCCCGCTTCTGTCCTACCTCTGACCTGCCTCTCGAGTGCCGACATTGGCTCCGCCTCGATGTCGACATTTGAGAGGTGGGTCAGAGGCAGGACACATGGTGATTGTTGGAGGATCGAAGTGATTTACGTCAATGAATTATTTTCCCGTGGTGATCACAAAAATGGACTGAATCATTTTGGACTTTTATACGTGTTTATTAATTTTGAATTTTTATTTTTTGATGCATGCGCCGCATTAATATTTATTTATTTTTTAAATATTATTTAATTTTGTTTAACTAATTCAATGTGGCAGCAGGTTATTAATATATGAGTTATTAGCACTTCACATTAATTCACATTAATTGATTTTATAGCTCATTGTTAATTACATGATTTTTTAGCGCAGTTTTTTTGATGGATTTACACCTTATTTTTAAGATAGAGACCCTAGCTCCATCAAAATCCAAGGTGCCTACCAACCAAGCCTTACATAAGACCATCTCTTTTTGTGTATATTTGTGTACACGGCAGATAATGTTCCGTGGGCGGTTAGGGTCGGTTGATTTGGGACCCAGCGCCCTATGAACTCTGTCAAATTCTAGGGGCAGCAGGGGGGACTCATCAATGATTCTATGGAGAACTGCGGTGACCGTGTCCTGCATGTTTTCTTGCCCCGTAGCCTCCGGGAAACCCCTCAGCCTGATGTTGTTACTACGGCTTCTGTTTTCTAGGTCTTCCACATGGAGATGAAGATAAATGGTCTCTGTGGGTCAAATGACCCTGTTCAAGTTGAGCTACCCTCTGCTCCAGGGCTGCCACCGAGCTCTCCCCCCTAGTCCTCCAACCAACATAGCATGGATTTGAAATCGACCCGTGTAGGCAGCGCTCTAATCAGTGCAAAAAGGTCAGCCCCAACCCCTGCATGGTGCATAATCAAGTTTGAGCTGTCCACCGGTAGAGGAGGCGAGGGCTCCGACCCACCCGACCTGGGGCTAGGTCTCGGCGGCTGCACTGCTGCCATAGAATGCATGGCCTGGGGAGACCTTGAGGCACCGGAAGTTGTGATGCCATGGTGGGAGGAAGGCTCTCTGGGAAGAAGCGCCGGATCCGAGGATGACCACGGGGTAGTCCTAGTCTTGTGACGTTTCGGGTGACTCATTGTGAGGCAAACAACGGCGTTGTCACAGTGTCATGTGGGTCAGGAGTTCAGCTAATCACGTCCTAACACCGCCATCTTCAGGCCACGCCCCCACTACTATATCTTTTGATTTGATAGCCAAAAGTAAAAAAAATTTCAGTCTTTTTTTTGTTTATAGCGCAAAAAATAAAGAGCACACAGGTGATCAGATACCACTGAAAGAAAGCTCTATTTGTGTGAAGAAAAGGACATAAATTTCATTTGGGTACAACATTGCATGACCGCGCAATTACCAGTTAAAATGCGCCGAATAGCAAAAAAAGGCCTGGTCAGGAAGGGGGGTAAATCCTCAGGAGGGCAAGTGGTTAATTCCTTGATATGTGTATAAAAAATGTAATATTGACAAAAGCCGGCAAATTCCTATCAGCCCTGTCAAGGAAATGTCACCAAATACAAATAGCTGCGCCTGACCCCAGTCCAGAGCCTGAATGTAAAGTGCTACTTGAGCTGTCTGAAAAATAGCCAGACCAGTCAAATCCCTCCTAAAATATGCTGAACATCTTTTTTAACTAGCAGGGGTGGAGTATGGTAATTTAAGCACTTGTCTACCATGGAATTTTTATTTTATTTTTTTTCACACACATATTGAAATCTTCATTTTTTGCACAAAATTACCTTAAACCCTAGACAAGTATACATTTTCTGAAAGCAGAGGCCCTGTAGAATAATGAGATGAAAGTTGCAATTTTTTATGTTGCACAGTATTTGCGGAACTGTTTATCAAATGCATAGTATCAGAAAAATACACTAAAAATAAATTTAGGGGGGGTGCATGCGTGGCCGGCTCCGGGATGGACGCGCTGTGAGACGAGCTCCGTCCACCCGCCAGCACTGACACGGCACACTTCGACCCCAGGGTTAACTAAACACTCTGCATGAGAGATAAGGGTAACAGGACCCTTGACACAGTATGACACGTCGCCGCAAAGCACCGGGACAGCCAGGGAAGCTCACTAATTTCTTCCCTGCTGTCACCACATGCAGCCAAGATGGCGCCGGCGGCATATCAAACGGCCACAGCGCCTATGAAGGGGACATCACATCTCAGCATTCGGATCCCAGGCTCAGAGCACCACTATACCCAGGAGACCCGGGTGAGTCCTCTCCTCCCCTATCTCCCACCACAAGCAGTCCGGCCAAATCCAGACCCAGACTGGATACTGACTCCCCTCCTGACAGTCAGCCTTCCTTCACACAAATGCTAGCTCACAATACTACTCCATCTTTAATTGAATCGTTCCCTGCTTTTGACCAACCTATCACTGAAATATTCATGAAAAACATGCTTCTTTCTCTGCGACAAACACTCCATAACGATCTGACAGCATCACTATCCCAAATCTCAAATGTGGTACAAAAACAAGAACACCGTTTACGCCATATTGAGAACAAAATGGGAGAAATATTTACAGCGCATAACGACCTGATTGACGCACACGCAGACCATGAAGCTGATATTGAGCAAGTAAACCTTACATTAGCGGACCTAGAAGACCGTTC